CTAAAAAACCATGAATCTAAGGAAAGGAACTCCACACCTCCAGAATCACACTTAGACACATTGGAATAAAGCCACAAACATTGAAGCCAAAGAAAGACCTTGATAAAATCAGAAAGAAAAAAAAATAGCGTCAGAGAAAAGTTACATCTCAAGGCAGCCTGGAAAACAAGAAAAGAGTAGCTATAGACCTAATATTGTGTGCCCAACATTATTATTTTTCAAGAACAAAGGCTCTTGGGTCATTTTTAGATAACCAGAAACTGAGATTAACATCAGCTCATCTTAAAGAATCTTTTATAGCTGGGCGTAGTGGCGCATGCCCATAGTCCCAGTACTTGAGAAGCTGAGACAGGAGGATCCTGGCGAGTTCTAGACTAGCCTGGGCTACAAAGTGAGTTCAAGGCCAGCCGGAACTGCATACCGAGACCCTGTCCTAAAAAGATGGGGGGTGGGGAAGAACCTTCCATAAAGAATATACTTAAGGAGGAAATACTTGAAACTGTTTGGCTTAGGAAGTAAATGTGTTTTGTTGTTTTTTATTTTTTAATGTATTTAGTACAGGGTCTCACTACACAGATGGACCCGTAATGATCCTCCTGTTTTCAGCCTCCCAAATGCTGAGATTACAGGCATGTGTCACTACACCCAGTCTGAGTCACTAGTCTCAGCCTGCCCGAGGGGTAGGGACAGCACCAGAGCCCGCAGGGCACACCAGACTAGGATTGAGCCTGGGTTCCTGCACCTTTCTAAGCAGGCGCTTTAGTCTGCTGAGCTATCAATATGGCCAGCCCTAGGAAGTAAATATGAACAAAGAAAATGGTCAGCACGCATAAATTAAACAAGCATTGTGTGAAATAATAATGTCTACTCTTTTAGGGCTAAAATAACAAAACTAAAATTATGGACTATAGTAATAGAAGAGAACCTAATTATGGTTCATGTTCCACGGTCATTGTGTGGTTCAGGAAAGGGCAAGACATTTCTTAACTTTGTGCTTCATTTAAGATAAAGTAACTAAAAAAAAAAAAAAAGATAAAGTAACTAGTATTTGGGAGAAAGTGAAATGCAGAAACAAGTGATTTTTTTTTTTTTTTTAATTAAAAAGAAAGAGGAGCAGGGGAGATGGCTCAGGGGTATAAGCGTTTCCCTGGCAAGTGCAAGGGCCTGAGTTCAATCCCCGGTTCCGCAAAAAAAAAAAAAAATAATAATAACAATTAATTGAAAGAAAAAGCAAAAATAGGGAAAGAACAAGGAAGTGATGAGACCAGGGTATATTAAGTAGCTTCAAAGTTAAAAGCCAATTTGATTGAAAATAGTATTGAAGAAGAAACACAAGTCCAGGCCAGGGAGATAGCTTAGAATAAGCACTTGCCTGGCAAGCACAAGGACCTGAGTTCAATCCCCACTTCTGCAAAAAAAAAAAAAAAAAAAAAAAAAACGCAAGTCCAGTTGTATCATCACTACCCCTAACATGTACATTGTACACAGTAGTCAATTCCAGGTCACTTTTAGATTTAAAGGTCAAAGTAAAAGAAAGCTTTTGAAAGATAATACAGAAGAATGTGTTTATAACAGTAGGGTGGAGCGATTTCTTAAAAGAGGATAAGCAGAACATTGAGCATAGAGGAAAGTGAGGATAAGTTAGGCTGTATTCAAATAAGTTGTGTTTATTGAAAGACACTATTTGAGTGAAAAACCAGTTTGGGGGGTGGGAAGAGAGAATATAAAAATTGACAAGACTTTTTTTTTTTTTTTTTTTTTTTTGGCAGAACCTGGGAATGACAGACTTTTTTTGACAAAGACTTAGGCCACAGAAGAGTCGTTAAATAGGAAAAGGTTCAGCTCTTTAAAACATGTGCCTTATGAAATAACTTCATCATATATAAAAAACCAATTATAGACAGAACTATAAATCACCATCATAGTGAAAATGTTTAGTCAGTTATTGTTAGGACAAGCAGGCCAGAAAAAGGTGTAATAACCTGGGTATGGGAGTGCATACCACCCAGTGTGACTCTAGCACTCTGGGAGACTAAGGAAGAAGTTTAAGCCCAGCCTGAGCAGTGTAGCAATTTACTGAGACTTTTCAAAATTAAAATGGACTGGAGGTGTGAAGGCCCAATTACTTGCCCAATCCATCAGTGTTTTTAAAAATAAAGATATAGGATTTGAACACATTAAGGACAGGTGTGGTGGCGCATACCTGTTATTGCAGCACTCAGACCAGGCTGCTGAGCTCTGAGCGAGGATGGTTGCCAGGAATTTAAGGCCAGCCTGGGCTACATAATGAGTTTAAGACCTGCCTGAATTACAGCAAGACCCTGGAGAGAGACAGGGAGGGAGGGAGAGATTTGAACATTAACAGGTTGGATTTGATGCGTATTCTCAAACATACAGGATCATTTATAGAAATGAACAAGAGCTGATAAAACAGACTTCAAAGCCCACAAGAGGAATGAACACAACAGAGCTGAAATAAGACCAGAGGGCTCTCAGTGGAGAGGAAAAGAGAAAGTAAACTTGGAGTAGGTTGGAGGGTAGATGCTCTGTGGAGTTTGTGGTAGATCTTACCCTTATACATGACCTAGACGTAACACCCCCCCCCCCATATTGGAAGCAGAACACAGACCTTCAATGACTTTATTTTTTTTTTCTCTTTTAAAATGTTTCTTTTTTTTTTAATTTTATGTATTCATTTTAATGAGAAAAAAGATAAAATATCAAGGAAACAGTTTCAAAACAGGTTAGTATGACAGTTACAATAATTAATATGTTGCATATTGTTGTCTTCTTAGCCTTCAATGACTTTAAAAGGATTTTATTTTATTTTTTATTTATTTATTTGGGGGGGCGGGCAGAACCGGGGATTGAACTCAGACCCTTGCGCTTGCCAGGCAAGTGCTTTTCTACTGAGCCATCTCCCTGGCCCCTAAAAGGATTTTTAAAAAATATTTAGCCAGGTGTGGTTGCACACAGCTATAATTCCCAGCACTCTGGGAGGCTGAGACAGGGGGATGACAAGTTCAAGTCCAACCTGGGTGACCTAGTGCTTCAGTGAGATCCTATCTCAAAATTTAAAACCATTTAAAAGGGGCTGGAATATAGCTCAGCAATACAGTGCCTGCCTGGCAAGCAGAAGGTCCTGAGTTCGATTTCCAGTATAAAGGGCAAAGGGCTGGAGATACAACGTACACAAAGACCCTGGGTTTAATCTCCAGTAACACACTGTGTTAGTTAACTTTTCTTGTTGCTGAAACAAAATACCCAACACCCACAAGTTAAAGGAGGAAAGGTTTATTGAGCTCACAGTTTGTAGAGCTTTAGTCGTAAACTGCTGGCTCTGAGGCAGGGTGGCTTGGCAGAGGAGAAAAATCTCATGATGAACAGAAGGTAGCAAAGCAAGGGACAAGCCAAGCCTTGTCTCTTATATTTTATCCAGGCTGTTGGGATTAGGTGGTACCAAACCAATCAGTGAATTGATTTAATTATCACCCACCCTTCATCCTAGCATTGCACAATGAATCAGTCAGTCTGTATTCAGCTACCTCTGAAAAAGCCCCACCTATGATGCATAAGGCTTTGGGAGGGACATTTAGACACAAACCATAATACACACAAAGTTTTTTCTATACATTAGAGTGAATCACATTAAACTGTCATTTTTGCAGGTTGACTGGATATTTGACATTTGGTAAGGTTGAACCTACTATAAGATGGGGACTTGAATTTTCCTGGTTTGGTTTGGTTTTGTATACGTCCTCTTCTGGAAAGACAACTGTTATTGGGACAATCAAAAGCATGGAGCTGGTGCTGGAATCTCCCTACTGCTTGTATATTTTATACACCAAAAGACACCTCAGGCTTGGGAGTGACACTTCCTCTAGAAGTAAAGGTGTGGTCATTTCAGTAAAGCCATGTGGCTCTTTCTTTTTTTTTTTTTTTTTTTTTTATTTCTTTTTTTTTTTTTTTTTTTTTTTTTTTTTTTTTTTGTGGAATCAGACTCAAAAGCTACTGTAATGACAAATCAACAGGGGACATAAAAGTAATTGGTGGAGAAGATCTCTCAACTTTAACTGGAAAGAATGTTTTTTTTTTTTTTTTTCACATTTCTTTTTTTTGTTTTGTTTTGTTTTTGTTTTTAAAGCAAATGACAAGAGACCCAGTTTACCAGCTTTTATAAACCTAAGCTTAAGACGAGGAGATGGCTCAGTAGAATGAGCGCTTCCCTGACAAGCGCAAGGACCTGAGTTCAATCCCCAGTTCTGCAAAAAAAATAAAATAAAATAAAATAAACTTAAGCTTAACATTACACATTTAAACAATTGTCAAAACTTTATTATTGCCAGCATCCATGCACAACTAGAAAACATCCTTAAATTTGTATTGATCCAGAAATGTATTACTATTAATGCATATCTTTCATTACTAAATACTGAAAAAAATGGAAACTTTCTGTGGAGGACACGTCCTGGCAATGTTAGCTTCACAGCAGGTGGACACTGCTCGGCTCACGTTTCAAACACAACGGAAAGCAGGTCCATGATGGTGTTAAGAGTACAGTCTTAAAAAAAAAAAGAGTACAGTCTTGTCCTAGCGCTACTCAAGAGTCAAGGCTTACCTTGGATCACATTTAATAAAAAGCAAAGTGCATACAGAGATTACAACAATTTTAAAGATGACAAAATGGTCCTACTGTGTGGTCCCA